GCACTTCCTGGTTCGGCCACTTCCTGGTTCAGGCACTTCCTGGTATAGGGTGGCAATGTTCTGTGTCCTCATTGTGCCCGGGAGTTGTCACCCCACACAGGCTTCCAATGAAGACTACCATTAGGCCTTGTTCACACCAGGGCAGTTCGGTCACTCGGATTTGTCGACACTGAACCGCCGACATGAACAACCCCATACATTCCTATAGAGACCGTTCATGCGATCGCGCGGCTCCGCGTGATCCGAACCGCCTGCCGCCCAAAATACTCCCTGGGCTATTTCTTCGCTCTTATCAGAGCATTTTCCAATATAGATTTCAATGTTCAGCGTGTTTCTGGGTGTTTTTAATTGCGCTTCAACGTTGAAACGCGATTAAAAACGCCCAAAAAACACCCTTTTAAAAACCATGCGGAAACCATGAAAAGCATCTGTCCTGGTGTAATTGGAGCCTCACGTAGGGACGGTCCATTGTTGTCACCATCAGGAACTTCATCCTGAGAAATGCCATGCAGCCGTCGCCGGAGTGCATGGAGACATGAAGTGGCTGCAACGCGTCTGCAGGAGACCTGCAACCCTGAGATGCAACAAAAGAGATCAAAACAAGAATGTATTTGATACAAAATGTCAGCTGCTAATGATACGCAGTGCCTTAGCGAACTAAATGTCATTGAGTTAGGGATTACATCTACTTTAGGACTCTAAATGATTATTATGTAGGATTTATATGGCCCCAACAGTACACATGGAGCCTTATGAATAGGGTTGCCACCTGTCCGGGATTCACCCGGACAGTCCGGTTTTTGAGTCCCATGTCCGGATTTCAGGCCAACTGACATCCGGACACAAGACACTGAGGCCCCATTCACACTGCGCGATATCGCGCAAATGCTTGTATTGCAAAGAATGGAATCGCTGCAAAATCCGCTCCAAAAAGGGTCCTGCTGTAGCGACGCACGACCCGCGACAGCAGGACCCTTTGCTCCATTGCCTTGCATTGGAGAGCGATATCGCGCGGTAAATTGCCGCGATATCGTGGGAATTACCGCGCGATAAATCGCTCAATGTGAACGGGGCCTAAGTGCTGATACCGGCACTTAACATTTTTTGACAGATGCGGCTGCGGAGGTCCCCAGCAAGCGAAGGACCTTAGCCGCATCTTCCGGTGAGCCGTAGGCGCCTGTAAACAGGCGCCGGCCCACGCATATCCTCCCCTGTCTTCTTGACACCACCCTGCCCGCCTCTAGATCCCTAGTTAGACACTGCACAACCCACACAGCACTCCTGAAAGCCTGCATAGCCCACCTGAGAGCCCGCATCTCCCACCTGAGAGCCCGCATCTCCCACTTGAGAGCCCTCATCTCCCACCTGAGAGCCTGCATCTCCCACCTGAGAGCCCGCATCTCCAACACTGAGAGCTTGCATCTCCCACCTGAGAGCCCGCATCTCCCACACTGAGAGCCCGCATCTCCCACACTGAGAGCCTGCATCTCCCACACTGAGAGCCTGCATCTCCAACACTGAGAGCCTGCATCTCCCACACTGAGAGCCCGCATCTCCCACCTGAGAGCCCGCATCTCCCACCTGAGAGCCTGCATCTCCCACCTGAGAGCCCTCATCTCCCACCTGACAGCCCAAACAGCCCACCTTGAGAACCTACAGTGTCTACATGAGAGCCCACACAGCCCTGGTGAGAGCTCACAGAAGCTGCCCGAGACCCTAGAGACATCAGGGCGCCGCCCTGGAACAACAGACTACGTAGCTTCATATAATTTTGTATTGCTGTATAATGTATTGCTGGGATTTGTAGTCCTCTATAGCCGGTCTCTTTACTCCCTCCCCTGGCTGCCTCTCCCCGCTCTCTCCTCTATCTTCTCAAAAAAATAAAATGTCGCGCACGGCGCTAGAGTGTTCGGGTCTCACGTGAAGAAAAGGTGGCAACCCTACTTATGAAATAAAGGGGGGCAGTACAGTTACATTCAAGGGGCTTAGGCGGGCCCTGCTGGTCAGAGGTTACAATCTTATACATAGAAGGCCAAATGCCGCCCTCCCTTGAAATTCTAGTTGTCTTGCCATCATGTCGATTCAACCATCTCTGTATGTTCTTAGTCCCCAGTCTGCAGATCAGGAATTGTGAGCTTTGCTGGCTGCAGTCTTGTTGGGTCAGTTACCTAGAAAGCCATAAAGATAGAGGAAGTCAGCCAACCAGCTTTATCATTGGGTATTCCTTCATTTAGAACTGTAGAGTATGAGCCAGAATTTTCCTTCCCCCTTCCAATCCCGTTTTTGAAAACAGAATAGAAAAAAAAGCTGCGTCCCTTTGGGACAACATGGGCGGACCCACCACTCCATGCTGATGGGATGGCATGCGCTGGATTTTTCAAAGGTGCTAACAATCGCTTGCGACCGCTTGTCATTGCGCACTGCGATCAATCTCTGTACGGCGGGGTCAGCCAATCCTCCCCTTTTCTTGGCGGGACAATGGAAGGAGGTGTTTAATCTCAATGCGTCCCAATTCCGCTCGAGGACCACGTCGGGGATCTACAACAAGTTGGGTTACGGGACTTCGAAGATGTCTCTGTTGCTCTTGGTGAGACATTTGCCCGTTTGTGATTGGCCTGACAGATGTACAACGATGCGTTTCCAAAATTAGGAAAACCACGTTTATTGGAAGTTTTTTCCCCATAAGGCGTGCCAGCTACGGTCATGCCGATGCATTGCCAGCTCATACCGGTGTCAGGTCAGCTGTTACATAGATAGTCCATGGTCCCATCGCACTCCTGACCGCGTGAATCCCTTCAAGAATTGGGTGCTGCGGTAGTCAACGGGTGGCAGCCGTAACAATCGTGAGCTAAAGCAGAGACACCGGCACTCCAAATTTGCAAAATACGTCTATTTATTGACGTGCATCGTGGTAAAAAACAACGAACGTTTCGGGGTCACAAAGGATCCCCTTCATCAGGTAAAACATACAGTCAATATGTTTTACCTGATGAAGGGGATCCTTTGTGACCCCGAAACGTTCGTTGTTTTTTACCACGATGCACGTCAATAAATAGACGTATTTTGCAAATTTGGAGTGCCGGTGTCTCTGCTTTAGGTCAGCTGTTACCACACGGTCTGTACGGGAGTTTCCTAAGGTGTTAACAATCGCTTGTGATCTCTGTAGGACGGGGCCAGGCCTTCCCTTTTCTCTGTGTGAGAATACAAAGAGGTGTTCAACTGCACGTGGGCCCAAATCAGCTTGATGACCAAGTCGCGATCTACGACGAGGCAGGTCTTAGGACGTCTCTGCCGCTGTTGGTTGACCGCATATAGTTAGCCCAACCTTCTGAGCTGTCACATATACATTCATGTGTTTGTGAAATTTGGAGGGCAACACAAATGGAACAATTCGTCCAGCAGAATGACACCGACGCATGCTAGCTCGTACTGTTTTCAGGTCAGCTGTCGATTTGATGGTCTGTGCCGTTTACCACAGCATAGCGCAATCAGTCTCTGTACCATGGGGCCAATCCTTCAATTTTCTTGGTGGGACAATGTAAAGAGGTGCTCTGATTATGCTCAATGGCAAGTTGCGATCCACATTAAGGCAGATCTGGGGACTTTGAAGACATCTTTGTCGCTCTGGATGAGACACTTCCCTGTCTATGGTTAGCCAAACCAACCAATGGCCAAGTTGTAAACTACAACGAGGCAGATCATGGGACTTTGAAGACATCTTTGTCGCTCTGGATGAGACATTTGCCTGTCTATGGTTAGGGTAACCGCCCAACTGCCAAGTTGTAAACTACAGCAAAGCAGGTCATGGGTTTTTGAACACACCTTCCTCACTATAGATGAGATATGTGTTTAGAACAACTGCTCAACAGTCAAGTCAAGATCTACAATGAGGTGAGTCTGGGGACTTTGAAGACATCTTTGTTGTTCTTGATGAGATATTTTCCTGTCTATGGTTAGCCCGACCACTCAACAGCCAATTCAAGATCTACAGTGAGGTGGGTCCAGGGACTTGGAAGACATCTTTGTTGCTCTTCATGAGACATTTTCATGTCTATGGTTAGCTCAACCACTCAACAGCCAAGTCGCGATCTAAGGTCTGGGGGGCCAAGTCGCGATCTACAACGAGACAGGTCTGGGGGGCCAAGTCGCGATCTACAACGAGACAGGTCTGGGGGGCCAAGTCGCGATCTACAATGAGACAGGTCTGGGGGGCCAAGTCGCGATCTACAATGAGACAGGTCTTGGGGGGCAAGTCGTGATCTACAACGAGACAGGTCTGGGGACTTTGACGACATCTTCGTTGCTCTAGATGAGATATTTGCCTGTCTATGGTTAGCCTAACTGCTGAACAGCCTAAAGCAAGGTGGGTCTGGGGACTTTGAACACATCTTTGTCCCTCTCGGTGAGACATTTACCCACCCAGGGTCAGCCTAACTGCCCAAATGGTCACATATACATTTAGGCGTTTGTGAAATAAGGAGAGTGATGTGTACTGGACGCTTCGCCTTAAGGTCTGCCAGCTACCGTCGGAACGATACCAACGCTTGCTAGCTCCTATCGGTTTCAGGTCAGCTGTTACAGCAGACGGGCGAAACCGGATCCCCCCGTTTGCGGGGCTTGGCACGTTGTGATACAGTTGGCACGTTGTGATACCGTTGCACATTGCACCGTGTTCCCTACAGGGAACTATAAGGTGTGCTGTGGCTAGCATGGCACGTCGTGGTATGCGCTCCAGACACATGGAACGGACCTAAGCCCTGACAGATAACAGAAATATGCCGGCCCCTTTCAAGGGAGGTGACATTGCTGCAAGTCCCAGCACCTCCTCCCCTCCTCAGCTGCTTCTCCTTTCCTCTGTGCGGCCTGGGGCAGTTCTCAGGAGCCTCTGGGAGGAGGCTGCCCAGCTCTGAGCCCACAGCGAGAGGGATGAGGGAGAAAAAGGGAGGAGGAGAGAGCTGGAGAGGGAGGGGGAGTCCCTGGTGAGTGTTGCAGGTCTTTGGCAGAGGGAGACAGGAAACAGAGCTGTGAAGTCAATAGCAGCGGAGAGAGGCAAAAAAAAAAAAAGCCTGGGGCAAGTGACAGCGAGGCTTCATCTATTTTTTTTTGTTATGTGGGGCAGTTCTCGGTTAGGTCAACGCAGGTCATCCCGTGGCCAACGACAGGAGCTGAAAGAGGAAACGGCAAGGAGCCTGGTCTCCCTCAGACATCGCCGGGGAATGGCAGGCGACCTAGGGGGAAGTGAGCGCACGTTGGGGGACAGAGAGAGGTGCTAACTGCTGAGAGGAGATTCCACCGCCCCGTGACGTTAGGCCTCTCCGGCCCCGAGGCATCCACAAGGTAGACTCCCAATAGCAGGACTTGTTGTGCTTGGCTTGACGAAGTCAGAAGTTTCGGCTAACTGCCTATGTGCGGCTACGGGCGCTATGCCCTGCGCTTAGACAGAATCAGTCTCTCGGCATAGGAAGGGGAACCCACTTTTTTCTTTTTTTTTTCATTCCGCGGTGCAGAGAGGAAGGGTTTCCAGCTTGCCCGTACGACGACGGCTCGGTGCGGTACGCGACTGGTTAATCTCGACGCGAGGGGATCTGTGATGTCTGCTCCTTGCGAGGGAAGGATGTGATCAGCGTCTTGCGTGAAATGAGGGGGCAGCGGATGTGATGGATGCTAATTGCAGCGTCAAGGCTCTGTTCGGTGACAGGTGCTTGCCGTGAGAGGGCTCCGACGAGGGGGTGACAGGTGCAGCTCAAAACGACGAGGGGTCTCACAAACCGGGTGCTGCGTCTGCAGGGCACAGGGGTGGGGGGTAGGGAGGGAGGACTGCGTACGTTGGGTGCTGCCTGGGCCGCGCAAGTGGGCGTCGTGCGCGTCGGCGAGAGTCGAGCGCCCCAGATATCGAGACGCGCAACTTGCGGGGAGGGAGCCGCGGGCAAGCTTTGGCCATGAGAGGGCAGCGGAGAAAAATGTCCGGGCTACAATAGAAGGGCTTTGGCTCAGGCGAGGGGGAGATGCTCGCGGTTCCAGTGAGATGCCGACGGCTCGTCGCCTTCTTTTTTTTTCCTCCCCGTACTCGCCCTTGAAAGCGATCCGCCGCTGATTTAGACAACTTTTGGCACTCCAGCTTCTTTGACGCGCATTGTTCCCGAGAGGACGGGTGAGACTTTCATGAATTTGCGTTGCTAAATTTAGAACTCCGATGCCGTGCTAATGCTGAACAGGTAACGTTAAAGGGGGGCTCTGCAGCGCGCATCTTGAATAGCGTGACGTTTGCTGTTATTTTCATAATTTGATGTAACTTTTTGAAACATTTTGATTGGATTGCTGTGCGACAGTTTCACGTTTGTGTTTTGTATACGGATACATAGATCTCCTGCGGCTATCCATTCTCATATGTATGTACTGCATGTGAATGCACCGTAATGCAACGTACGTTAGTGTGATGTTGCGCAAGGTTCAGGTCCCTGGGTAGGTGCATTGGGGTGCCATTGATTTTAATTGGTAACCAGGGCACCCATTGCGGGTTGCTGTGGACTGCGGAACCCTATGCACGTAGCATGCAGAAGTGTGCGTGTGGATGCAATGCAAGGATGTGGCCCTAAAGGAACTACAGGAAAAAAGAAAGCTTCTGTTTGTAAAAAAAGGTCCTTTGTAGCATTAGTTTAGGCCGATGTCATGTGGTAGCTTTTTGGATCAGTCGGGTTCTACTTTATCTGTTTTTGTACCTTCCCCTGCTTTGGAAATGGGCTATAGATTCCTGGCTGCGTAGACTTTGCTGCCCTGGGTAGGAGATGTCTGCAAGGTTGGACTTTGCAGATGTAACAGTTGGCCCAGTATGGAGAACATGTGACTCACTACCTTCCTCCCATGTGACACTGCTGGTGCTTGGTAATTGGCTGCACTTTGGGGTGGGGAGTGAATCCTCAACCCAGTGTAAGCTCTAACTAGGAGAGACTTGGGTCAATCCTCAACCCATTGTAAGCTCTTACTATGAGAGACTTGGGTGAATCCTCATCCCAGTGTAAGCTCTAACTAGGAGAGACTTGGGTGAATCCTCAACCCAGTGTAACCTCTTACTAGGAGAGACTTGGGTGAATCCTCAACCCAGTGTAAGCTCTAACTAGGAGAGACTTGGGTGAATCCTCAACCCAGTGTAAGCTCTTACTAGGAGAGACTTGGGTGAATCCTCAACCCAGTGTAAGCTCTTACTAGGAGAGACTTGGGTGAATCCTCAACCCAGTGTAAGCTCTTACTAGGAGAGACTTGGGTGATTCCTCAACCCAGTGTAAGCTTTTACTAGGAGTGACTTGGGTGATTCCTCAACCCAGTGTAAGCTTTTACTAGGAGTGACTTGGGTGATTCCTCAACCCAGTGTAACTTTTACTAGGAGGGACTTGGGTGATTCCTCAACCCAGTGTAAGCTTTTACTAGGAGTGACTTGGGTGATTCCTCAACCCAGTGTAAGCTTTTACTAGGAGTGACTTGGGTGATTCCTCAACCCAGTGTAACTTTTACTAGGAGGGACTTGGGTGATTCCTCAACCCAGTGTAAGCTTTTACTAGGAGTGACTTGGGTGATTCCTCAACCCAGTGTAAGCTTTTACTAGGAGTGACTTGGGTGATTCCTCAACCCAGTGTAACTTTTACTAGGAGGGACTTGGGTGATTCCTCAACCCAGTGTAAGCTCTTACTAGGAGAGACTTGGGTGATTCCTCAACCCAGTGTAAGCTTTTACTAGGAGTGACTTGGGTGATTCCTCAACCCAGTGTAAGCTCTTACTAGGAGTGACTTGGGTGATTCCTCAACCCAGTGTAAGCTTTTACTAGGAGTGACTTGGGTGATTCCTCAACCCAGTGTAACTTTTACTAGGAGGGACTTGGGTGATTCCTCAACCCAGTGTAAGCTTTTACTAGGAGGGACTTGGAGCTTACTCTGGGCATCTTCTCCTCACAGCAACTGGGTTAATCCTCAACTCATTGTAAGCTCTTACTAGGAGAGACTTGGGTGAATCCTCAACCCAGTGTAAACTCTTACTAGGAGAGACCTGGGTGAATCCTGAACCCATTGTAAGCTCTTAAAGGAGGGGACTTTGGTGAATCCTCAACTCAGTGTAAGCTCCTAGTAGGAGAGACTTGGAGCTCACACCGGGCATCTTCTCCTCAAAGCAAACTGAGGGAAGGTAAGCACAGTATATGCTGCATTTGGTGGTGTGGGGGGGAGGGGGGTGGGCAGATCTTTATAGTTAATCTGTTGCTTTGCCCTGAATAGGCGAACCACGGGTTCATTTTATCCTGTCCCTTAACACCCCTAAAAGTGAGTCCTTAAAGCAGGGGTAGGCAACCTCAGAACTCCAGCAGTTGTGGAACTACAAGTCTTGAACTACATGGCTGTTCAAGACTCTGACAGTTACAGGCTTGACTCTCAGAAGCAGAGACATGATGGGCATTGTAGTTTCACCACAGCTAGAATGCCAAGGTTGCCGACCCCTGCCTTAAACTATAACACCACTTTTATTTTATTTACAATAATCCTCCCTCTGGTATTATAAAAAAATAGGTCAGAAAGAACAAGTCGCCTTCTCCCTGCACCAGCGATGCCTTCCACATCTCGTTTGGAATGGGCCGCTGGTCCTTTTCTGGTTTGAATGACGGCCAGCCAGCCCACCCTGGGGATGTGTCAGTATGCCGGCCAGGGTTTACAGTATTTATGGACTGAGCACGTCATTACGTGAGCACAGTTTGGTCCAAGAGGAAGGCCCACCGGCATCGCTGGAGGAGAAGAGGAAGGACCCATGACATCACCAGGCCGGCCAGAAGACTTCAGGAGTAAAGGTATGTATTAAGCCATTTGGAAAAATGGTGGGA